CTCGTGGACCTCTCAAAAACACAAGATGTTACCTAGCGTATGGACCATTATTGTTACCTTTTACTTTTAGGTAATATTGCAGTGTGCTCATTTCCCTTTGGTACTTTAACGGCAGAACCTAGCCTTCGTTGTACAGCTTGGAAATTGGGCTCATTCTGAAGGCCCACAGGATCAGCCTCATAGCTTGGTTGGCGAGTTTTTCAATTGGAATAAGAGTTGTTCGTCGCGCCGAACTATATATTTTAGTTCCATATTTTATTCTGGCCATTGGGGTTGCAATTATGCTTTCAAAATCCGCAATGGTTCTTAATACGTTCGTTCTTTTTGCATTCGGTAGCTAATATAATATTATAATAATAGTAGAGGAAAGTCGCCTAATATTGGACAGTTGCCTAATTTTGGATACTGGATTATCTCCGAAACCTATTGACAGTTGTCTGTAATTAAGTGGACAAAACTAGTTTTCGAACACAAAATAATCCTGTGTAAACGGTATAGTTCAGTTGTGCACCACTAGGTGGTACCCTAAAATCACATGAAAGATTTTTTTATTTTACTCACCAAACATTGAACAGGAAGGTTGCCCAATTTTGGATAGACAAAGTGTCTTAAAATTGGATATCCAAAAATAGGAATTAAAAAATTCAAACCAAACTAAAAAGAAGGTTTTCAAAAATAAAAAACTAAAAAAGTGGAAGACGAAGTTGAATCCTCAGACTCATCAAAAGATGTTCCTTATGAAGACGACTCAGATATGGATCCCGATCAAGAAAGTGATGGAGAGTATATTTTCTGCACTGGACGTTATTCAGAGGACCAAAACGGAGAAAACTGGATACAGTGTTCCATTTGTTTCAGGTGGTCACGTGTGGACTGTGCTGGTAGTGACAAAAGAGCTTACGTCTGCGATCTTTGTTTACAAAAATAGGTTCCCAATATTGGATAGGGTATCCAATTTTGGGCTACTTTTTTTTTATTTCAAAAAGTGTCATTTTTTATTTGGGCATATTTTTTATACCTTTTAAGGGTAAAATAAATGGTTTTGTATGCATCACGTGTTTTTATTAAAGTAATAGCACTTTCTGAGTACAAAAAAATAAATAAAAGAATTTTTTTTCGGTTCAAAAAATTGAATTTAGAAAAAGTATCCAAAATTAGGCCACCTTCCTCTATTTGAAGGCTCGGGCAACTTAACCAAGAAAAATCTTGACGTTTAATGTGTGCAGGCGCAGTCTGTGCAATCAACTTTCTTATTTATGGAAATATTTTTTTGAAATTTTAAACACAGGTGCTTCTAGTAACGACAAGCATTGTATTAAATTATAAAAATCAGATGTGAGCATGCGCTGACTGCGCAATATCAACTTTCTTATTTATGTAAATCTTTCTTCGAAAACATTTCTAATTGCAAAAATCAGCGCAAACGCAATGTCAACTTGCTAATTTATGGAGATATTTCATTGAAATTTTAACCATTGATGATTTTGGTAGAGACAAGCATATCGCATGCTGTAAAAATGTCACCTTTCTTATTTATAGAAATATTTTTTTGAAATTTTAACCAGATTCTTGTAGTAAAGGTAAACATATCGTATAATTTAAACATCAGGTTGGGCAGACTGCGCGACGCTAAGTTTCTATTTATGCCATAACTTATTTTCCTTTACACACATAAATATTCCGTTATATGACCTTTCGAGAAATACTGATTAATTCATGGAAAATACGCTAAAGTTACTCGCCTTAAGGCGAAAAGGTTTTCTTCATTTTTGGAGATTTAGCCGCCGACAGCGCATATTCTACTCTCACTCGAAATCTTCTATTGGTCATAAAAATTGTTGCAGTATGTCCTTTTAATCCCCATGTTCTTAACTGCTGAAGTATTGCATGTCTCCATACAGTGTCGTACGCTTCCTGCGCGGTTATTTTTAATGGCGTTCTCCAATTCTACCATGTGGTCCACAGTTGAATGTCCCTTTCTAAATCCAATCTAAATCTTTCATAGATCTACAGGGTGATTCCTATAGTACCTGCCACCGTTTGGGAGCGTGTAGGTGGTGCGTAGGGGAGTATTTTGATATAGGACACTTGGGGTCGGAAATCTAAAATTAAGGGTGCCAGAGCCAAATTTACCTTCTGGAATTTCGCGCCTGTAGGTAGGCAACCCAACCGGCCGGCGGTGCACACGGAGCGATCTCAGGCGGCGATGTGTGGCTGACACTTGGACCAAACCTATCCGGACAGATGGATCGGCCGTGGAGGTGCGGTGGAGTGGCCTGCCCGCTCGCCCGACATCACCCCATTAGATTTTTACTTGTGGGGTGTGATGGAAGCGTACGTCTACGAGACTCCCGTCGAATCCGAAGAGGACTTAATTGCGCGCGTCGTCATGGCCGGAGGGGCTGTTCGCCAGGACATAGGAGTCTTCACGCGAGTTCGAGGGGAGTGGTTGGCTAGATGTAGGAAGTGCATTGAGAACAACGGTGGCCACGTTGAACACTTGTAAACGTTATTGCTTTTGACTGTCGTTTTCCCTCCTTCCCTCCCATGTCGCTCCCTCGCGCTAACTCGCTCTGCATCGCTCCGCGCGAAACGTCGGTCGGTTGGGTTGCCTACATACAGGCGTGAAATTCCAGAAGATAAATTTGGTTCTGGCGCCCTTATTTTGGATTTCCGACCCCAAGTGTCCTATATCAAAATACTCCCCTACGCACCACCTACACGCTCCCAAACGGTGGCAGGTACTATAGGAATCACCCTGTATAGTG